GCTCTCAGTACAAGAAGTGAATTGCATTATGAATTCCTTGGATGTGAAAACTGCCACAGATTTGATTGTCAGAAACTGGTGTGGGTGATGTCATGGCAGAGCATTGTGATGTGTTTTTCCTTAAATACCTCTCCTCTGAAGCCTCTGCGCATCCTGGGGGCAGCTCTCATCTGCCTGCTGTGCCCCTGCCAGCCCTTCCTTCCCCGGACTCACGCTCACCGAGGCGGCACAGTGCTGCTTGCCCAGCGATGGCTGCTCTCCATCTGTGCTGGACGTCATAGTAGATGATAACATGTAGCGTGACAACAGGAATTTGAAGTTTTAGGCACGGAGCACGGACTGGAAAGCCCACAACTTTGTTTTTAGCCACTCCTCGTCTCAAGGAAAGGAATAGCCTGCGCGGTGGTCCATGTGGAGATGCTGTCTCACTGCAGAGTGAACACACCCCGTTTCTCCATGTAGAGTGTCACTTGGTCCCTCTGCGCTAGACCAGTGTCAGAACTGCGCTGTGCACCCTCACCTTTCACTCCGCAGGGCCGTGAGTGCTGTGGGTCGGGGAAGTGAGTTTCCAGAGTGAACATGGGAAGAGGAGACACTTTGTCAAGCCTGAGAAGCTGCTGACTGCGATGGACATAGGAGTTCTCTCCAGGTTTCAGTCTCATCCTACTGCAGCTATGCCATGCACCTACCCCGCTGTGGCCTCACTCAGCATCCATCCCCCATAGCCATGCTGTATGCCCATCCTACCATGACCACACTCTGTACCCACCCTACCACAGCTGTGCCATGTACCCTACCCCACCAGGACCATGCTATGTTCCCACTCCACCATGACCACTCTCTACCCATCTGTATTCGTGACATTTACATCAGTGTGGCAGAGTACCTGACAAAACAACTTAGAGGAATGCTTTATTTTAGCTCAGAAGTTTCCTGATGGCAAATGAGAGGTACGATGATTCATAATGTCACCTGACAGGATGCAGAATCACCTTGGAGACAAGTCTCTCTGTTCATGCCTGTGTTGGATTTTCTAGATTAGGTTAATTTAGTTGGGAAGACACACCCTGCAGACTGGGTGAAAGGAGAAAGCGAGCTGAGCAAAGGCGTTCATCGCCCTGCTTGCCACCTTGTCTTTTTTGTCTTTTGAGATGGTGTTTACTGTGTAACTGGCTGGCCTGGAACTCCCTACGTAAACCAGGCTGGCCTTGAATAGAGATCCAACTGTTTCTGCTTCTAGAGTGTTGAAATGAAAGGTGTGAGCTACCGTGCCCAGCATGCCACCATGTCTTCCCCAACCTTGATGCACTGTGCCCTTGAACTGTGAGCCAAAACAAACCCTTCTCTTGCTCTGGTTGAGTGTTTGTGACAATGACAAGACCAGTAGCTAGTGTGGGAGCTTTCAGGGAGTTCAGGGTGGGGAGGGTGGGAAGGGTGGGGAGGGGAGGGAAGTACAGAAGCAGGGGCTGTTAGCCTGGATAGCCCTTGTGTTCCCTTTCAGTCTCCAGCCTGCATTCAGGTGTCTCTGCTCCTCAGTTGATCCTCTTTAGAAACATGCTCACAAGGCACCTTACTGTCTCCTGCATGATTGTAAATCCAATCAAGCTGACAAAACATCGCTTCATCCTCCCATGGCTAGGCTCTGTCCACCCTGCCATGGCTGGGCTCTGTGCTCACCCACTATTTCTTAGGTGATCTCCCCTCCTGTGAAGAGAAACCCCAGATTTATTCCTACAAGGGGGCAGTGGGGGCTTCCCTGGAAGTGTCTGGCCTATCTTCTGAGACTTGCTGAAGTAGCAGCTGGTTATATTTCACAGTCTACTCCTGGGCAGAGGTTCTGACCTGTAACCTTTACTCAAACTATCTAACCTTTACTCAAGGACGACATCCAGCACAGTTTCCGGAAGTTCAGCAACTGGCTCATGGGCCAGCTGTAGTACTCCATTAGTGCATGTACTCTGTCCACCTTTGTCCCCTGCCATTCCTCCAAGTGCTCCTGAATAATCACTAGATAAGATGAGAGAGCATCTTCCTGGTTCTCAGCCTTTCCAGCATCACTTGAGACAGGAGACAGCTCTCTCTACCATAAAGCACTTTCTATCCTTTTTCCTCTGTCCCCTGGCCACACCTTGAGTGATCCTTGGTGATCTCTTATTTTCCCAATTCTTAGTGGTATGTGCCCACACTTCCCACTTCCCTTCGGTTCTCAGGATCATTTCACTCCTCTGTGGCAGTGCTCCCAATGTTGCAGGGGTCCTACTTTGCCTTGTGGGTGAACCTTGTTTCTGTGATGGCAATACTGATGGTACAGGGCTTGGCCCTGGGACTTGTGACCCTTTGTAGCAAGTAACGTTTATTTAAAAATTCAGTGGGTTTTTACATAATACAAGGAACTGGAAGTCACATGGAGTTTGGCAGTTACAAAGATTTAGGGCACAGTTAGAGGAGAAACAGCATACAGCTTTTATCTGGCGCCAGCTAAGGGCTGTTTGTAAAGCAGGATGCTTGAACTTTTACTGAGGGTTACCAGTGCCTATCTGGTAATTTATTGACCACAATGTTTTCTTTCTTAGGACAAAAAGCATAGTAAAGTTTTAGCTTTTAGCCCAGGAGTAAACTTTTAACCTGGCCTATTCTTTTAGCTGGTGAGAACTGAGTTATTTGTTCAGAACAAGGAGGCAGGCTAAGGGCTGTTGACCAAGATGCCTTCCCTCAGAGCAAAGAGCTTAAACTTTTGACCAGGCCACTTTTCTTCTGCTAGCCCTGCAGTGTTCAGCAAGACAGGAATCTGAGGGCTGCTGTATTCAGTGCCCCTCCCTTCAGCAGAGATTGTAGCCTGGACTTTAAAAGTTTCAGGTCCATCTCTCCCTAGGGGATGCCATCCTGGTTTCCTACAGTACCATGGACCTGGGCCTCTTGGCCTGATCCTCAGGCCTGACTACCCACCGAATTTGCAGATGGGTGCCTCACAGACCTGAAATCACCCAAAGCAGTCTTCACGTACTCCCTGGAGCCTCTTCGCCCAGCCTCCCCAGCCCAGTGAGCCACCCCCCGCCCACGACCCTTCCTTCTGTTCAGCCCTAGACTTGGGGACTCTTCACTGTTCTACACAGCAGTCATCTGAAGTTCTGCACTGCCACCTTCCACATCAGCCCAGAGTCCGCCCTGCTGCATCTTGTCCAGCAGCCTCCTCGCTGGTCCCTGGCCTGCATTCTTGCCTCCTGGGCTGCCTTTCACACACCAGCCAGTCGGTCCCTTTAGACACCCATACACTGCCCCATCTTGGTTTACAAGCCTCTTAGCACTCCATAGTACCTGTAGAAGCCAGTCCCTCCTTGGGCTGAAGGATCCACTTGGATGTTTCATTTGGGCCTTCCTTGACCCTGTACCCTAGTACCTCCTGCCCCACTGCTGCAGACACTCTTCTAGAACAAGCTGGGACCTAAATGTACTTCTCTTGGTTTGAGTATGACTTCAGGGTATCTGGTGTTAGGCAGGAGTTTATGGCCATTTCCCTGTCCTTAGTGTCCTGTTAGGCACTTTGTGACTGTGGAGCAAAGAGGAGTCTGGTTGCTCTGCATGTTGGTGGGGGAGGGGGGACACACCTAACTGCTAATGTGGGTCTGCCTTCACCAGTGCAGAGCAGAATAGCCCAGACACACACCAGGGAGTTGACCTGGCAGTGAGCAACCCAACAGAGCAAACCTCAGGGTGGAGATGAGGTGATGTGGTCTCCTAGGCCACCTTCAGGATTAGAACACCTGTCCCTCACTGCACCCTAGCCAGGGTATTTAAAGCTACAGGTTGTGCTGTCCTGGTACAGAAGAAAAGAAGGAAACTTGGTGTGATGCTGATGTGTTATTGACACACCTGGGAAGAGGGAACCTCAACTGAGGAATTTCCCCCCTTAGGTAGACCTGTGGCCACATCTGTGAGGCATCTTCTTAATTGCTAATTGATGGAGGAGGGCCCTGCTCACTGTGGGTGGTGCCATCCCTAGGCGGGTGGGCCTGGTCTGTGTAAGAAAGGTGGCTGAGCAGGCCAACAAGCAGTATTCCTTAGTCATCTCTGCTTCAGGTCCTGCCTCCAGGTTCCTGCCTTGGCTTCCCTTGATGATGGACTGTGAACTATAAGCTGAATAAACCCTTTCCTCCCCAAATTGTTTTTGGTGTTTATGGTCATGGTGTTTATCATAGCAACAGAAAGCAAACTAGGGTACTTGGGCTATGCATTTTTTTTTTAAAGATAGTAATCTAATATTATGGGGTTTTTCTCCTAAAACAAGCACCATCTAGGGCTCCAAGAGAGACCATATGTTCTAGAAGCCTATGCAAGTGGGAGGGTGTCTGAGGATGGATATCAGGCTGTACCTGGAGGGTGGGGTCCAGGTAGGATTGAGCTGCCCCCTTGGGGAGCCAAGGAGTGGGCAGATCGGAGAGAGGTTCACAGGTCACAGAGGCTTTCCAGGACCTGACAGAGGCCTGAAGCCTTCTATGTGGGTGAGGTCAGAACCAGGACAGCAGGGGCATCAACAGGTATGCAGGGTCCCTGGTAGGCATGACAGCTGTCTGTGCTGCCAGTTCTGCCGTCTTCAAGGGCACTTCTGTCCCTCTGCTTGTCCTGGGTTGTCTCTGGACCAGGTGGGGCTGGAATGACACAAGTTCATCATTGAAGGGCCAGGGTGCAGCACAGTGGTAGAACTTTGCTTGGTGTTCCAGGCCCTGGGATACAAACCCAGAGCCACATGGGAAGAATTCACTGTTAAAGACATTGAGGTTTTGTCTTATCTATGACAGTCATTACTATTTTAATATAAATCTGTGCTTTTTAACTTTTTCTGGAGGCTGTGACCTGATTGAACCTCTCCTTTTTATCTTTTGGAAGTTATGCATCCACCCAGTCCTTAGCTCAGAATTTCTGTGGACTGCACTGAGTGTTTTGTTGCTTTAAATCTTGACTCCAAGAGTAACTGTCCCATCGTTGCCCCCATCCCTGCCTAGTCATTGATCACGGCCATGAAGAACGCCTGTGAGATCCTCACTGCTGACCCCGAGGGCGGGCCTGCTCGAATCCCATTCAAGTCTTTTGCCTACATCTACCAGTACTTGTCCGGTCTGGACCCAGAGCTCCCTGCTGCAGATACAGAAAGCTATCTTGCCACTTTAAAAGAGAAGTCGTAAGTATGGCACTCTCTGGGGTTTGGTATGTTGATGGTTGGAGAAGCTCCTTCCTCCACTGTCCTCTGTGCTGAGAACCTGCCCTTAGTGGAAGGCAGAGCTGCATGCTTTGATTCCAGCATGTGTCCCATTGGAGATGTGTATCAACCACTCACACAGCCTTTCCTCAACTTCAGCCAGGGAGGCACTCAGGCTCCACTTTCTTAGACTTTAGAGAGAGAAAATGCACCCTCCCTAGGTTGAACTTGCTTCTGGCATACACTGTGTCAGGCAGTTTTAAATGATAGCACGTTAAACAGGGAGATAGATGGAATTGACCCCACCACTGTGAACCAGAGACGTGGTTCCCACCCGATGCTGCCATGAACGCAGTGTTGCCACAGAAACTTGACAGTGTTATTGACGTCACCTGTACAGTTCTTGATAGGAGGAACTGACTTTGACATGTTACACACTGTTTTCACATTACATTTGGCATTGATTGAATGTAAAAGCGTGAGCAAAAGTCCTTGGTTGGTTTTTTTTTTTTTTTTTTTTTATCTCACAGCTGTCTTTTTTTGAGCCGGTGTCTTCTCTCTCTAGTAAGTGGCCTCAGGTGCCCACACCTGTACTCTGTGGACCTGTGGAATACCCTGTCATTTTGTTCTACATCCTAGTTTGGTTTTTATTGCTGTAATAAAACAATCTGACCAAAAACTTGGGGAGGAAAGGGTCTGTTTATTGCATCTTATACTTCCAAGAGACAATCTATCTTTGAAGGAATCTGGGGCAGGAACCCAGAGAGAGAAACTGAAGCCTAGACAATACTTGCTGGCTTGCTCCTGAGGTCTGTGCTCAGCCTGCTTTCTTGTACAACTCAGGACCACCTGACCCACCTGCCTGGGGACCTCTGTGATTCTTAAAAGAATCAAGACAATGCCTCACAGATATGCCCACAGGCCAATCCAAGAGAGGAAATTTCCCAGTTGAGATTCCCCCTTCCTAGGTGTTTGTCAAGTTGACAACCTAAGCCATGCAGATGGTCTAGAAAGGCTGGCACATTCCTATGGGGAGTTCCCATTTTCTTTCCAGATTCTCAAGATCACCCCTCGAGATAGTGATGCCATGACAGTCATGTGGGGTGTGTGTGGGGGGGAGCTGGGCAGCAGAGCTCAATATGGCAGCTGCCACCCTGAGGAGAGTGGGGACAGGCTGCCAGGCTGCTGTCGGTGGTGCTGACTAGATGAAAATGTAGGCTGCAGCTTCCTGTATACGGCTGCTGGGGTAGGGTTGGGTTTTAGTGTGACCTCTAAAAGGATCAGCTGAAGGTAAGGACACTAAACAGCCAACAGGGAGATGTGAGCTTACACCACTAGGGCTTCATGTGCCCCTCCATGGAAAACCTCCACTGTAGTGGCTCCAGAAAGCCTTAAATGGACCCAGGTGACCAAGCAAGTTCATGCCTGGGGCCAAGTACAGCCATGTTAGGAGCTTGGAGGAGTCCAAGTGCAGCCATGAGGTGGGCTGTTGGAACCTTCCAGTTGTTGTTCTTGGTGCCCAGAATGCACCAGTGGTGGGCAGCACAGCATGTGGCGAGCACCCAATGCTGAGGCCATGCTGCCTGGCCTGCCCTGCCTCTCCCCATTCTTCCCTCATCAGCTTGTTAATTAAGCTTCTTTTTACAGATGGAATAATTGCTTATGCCTCTGCCTATTAGGAATTCATTCATCTACTCCATGGTTCATCAGTTTGTTCATTCGTTTGCTCCCTGCTTGGTTCTGACAGTGTTTAGCCCCTTGATACCTATATCTCCTTGGACAGTGATGCTGGATATGCCTGCCCCAGCCACATGGATGTCACAGTCCTGATTCCTTTTGCCCTTTGTGCAGTAGAGAGATGGACTGGGGTGGGCAACCAGGGACACTGAGTGTGGGCTGAGTGGGAGGCAGGAAACTCCTCTGAGGTTCCCCTAGGGCGGTGTCCTGAACTCCTGGAAAGTTGGTGGGGCTCTGTCACCAGGACCATGGTGTCGGGTGTTCTGGGTAGCTTTTGTCTGTGTCTGACCTAAGGCAAGAGAGGCCCCACTGCACGCACTAGTGTTCCTCTGGAAGTAAGTGCACGGTGAAACAGCACATGTACCATTTTTAAGGTGATCTCGTCTGTTAAGTGGAATTATGTAAAACCATATTACCTGTATCTCTGTTTGTTTCTGATCCAGAGAATCTAAAAAGAATGGCATGATAGGACTTTCGGACTTATTCATCCCCAAAAGGACAATATAGAAAACCTCGAAGAGAAAGCTCTGAAGACATACCATTAATACTGAGAGGAACACATTTAATGTCAAAATAGTACTCTGAAAACCTTGGCAACAAATACAACTTGTCATTAATCACTTCCGTGTATAGCGTGCATTCTTCTCATGGAAATGTTGAGTGTTTTCTGGGGCTCATTTTAATTACTGCTCCTCACTGTGTCCTGGAAGCAGACCTCAAATATGACAAACTCATAGCTCTATGATGGGCTTAGTAAAGTAACCTGTTTGAGACTGCATGGTAGGAAGGGACTGGAAGGTTAAAGGGCCTGTCCTAATGTTTTAAATTTTTTTGTGTGTATGAGTTCTTGGCCTACATATACGTAAGTGCATCCATGCATGCAATGCTCTCAGAGGCCAGAAGAGGGCATCAGATCCCATGGATTAGAGTCACAGATTGTTGTTAGCTGTCATGTGGGTGCTGGGAACTGAACCCAGGCTCTCTGTAAGAGCAGCTGGTGCTCTTAACTGCTGAGCTATCCCTCCAGCCCATAAACGTTTTTTCTATTTTGTAAACATTATTTATTTATTTATTTATTTATTGGCCTTTTTGAGACAGGATCTCCCTGTAGCCTCAGCTGTCCTGGAACTCACTATGTAGACCAGGCTGGCCTTGAACTCACAGAGATCCTCCTGCCTCTGCCTCCCAAGTGCTGGGATTAAAGGCATCTGCCACCACGTCCGGCCTCATTTTATTATTTTTCATGTGTATGAGTGTATTGCCTGCATGTATGTAAGTGCACCCATGCCCTGCAGGGCCTATGGAGGTCAGAAGAGGGCATTGGATTCCCTTGGAACTGGATTTTTCCATGGTTGTTAGCTGCCACTCAGGTGCTGGGAATTGAACCTGGATCCTTTGCAAGAACAGCCAGTGCTCTTAATGGCTGAGCCATTTCTCTAGCCCCTCTATTTTTATTTCTTGAGACAGGGTCTGACTATGCAACCCTGACTGGACTGGAACTGGCTATGTAGATCAGGCCTTGAACTCACAGAGATCTGCTACCTCTCCCTCCCGAGTGCTGGGACAAAAGGCGTGTGCCACCACACCCTCCTGTCTGTATTCTTGTTCAAAACTGTTGCTCAGTGGGGATGCACAGACACACTTCGCTCTCCCATAGCCAAAACTCTTGAAGCCTGTCCTTTGTGACAAGTGCATCAACAGCTGGAAACATCTTTGAAATCTGATCGAATGTATACATTTTGAAATATGAAACTTACCCATTACTGGCTTAAGAAACAAGTGAGTTGGTTGGGGGTGTAACTCAGTGTAGAGTGCTGGACTAGCAAATGCAGAGACCTGGGTTATATTTCCAGCACTGAGGAGAAAGTGTCAGTCTCACCACTGATTTAAAGAGCATCCAAGCAGTGGTTAAACTATTCACACAGAAAAACCAAAGCACAGTCTAAAAGCAAGTCTTATTAAATGTTAAAGGAACAAATGTTTACATTAAAAAAAATTTACTTGCATGTGTGTGTGTGTGTATGCACTTGTGAGTGCCTGTGGAGGCCAGAAGAGGGCATTAGGTCCCCTGAAGCTGGGGTTACAGGTAGTTGTGAGTCACCATGTGGGTGCTGGGAACCAAACTCCAGTCCTTTGCAAGAGCAATGCATTTAACCACTGAGCCATCTCTCCAGCCCCAATTGTCCATATGATAGAACAGTTCCCACTCATTCTGCAAGACCAGAATGTCTTTGTTCTCAAAACCAGACAAAGACTTTAGATTCGTTTGTGTTTTAGATAGGATCACATGTATCCCAGACTGGCCTCAAACTCACTATGTAGCCAAGAATGACTAACCTCTGATCCTCCTGCCTCCACCTCCCAAGTAACAAACACTTTAAAACTAAATGTAAGACAAAATAGTTGCTAAGTGCAGAATATGAGCCTCCTCCTGAGTTAGTTTGCATGCTCCATCGGCTGTTGTTTGGCTCTGCCATGGTGGTTGATTCCTTCTGGATCCCTCCTCACCAGACTCCAGTCCCCGTTCCCCCCAACTCCTTTGAGATACCCCTTCTGTCATTGGTGAGGGAGTTCTAGCTTTGTTCCCTCAGCAGCATGTGAGTCCATACCAGGCCTGCTGTATTTCAGCATCTGTACTAGCTCTGGCCCCTCCACCTCTCGTGACCAGGTAGAGCCTCTTGGTGACCTCGTGATCTGGGTATCATGAATTCTGCCCCTAGGACTTGAGACAAGGCTGCCCAGTTCAAGTCACTTGGTAGCACAAATTTCAGACTAATCTTGGGGTCCAGGCTGCCCTCCTAGCTGACGCTGCTCCCCTCACCTGGTTTCCTGGCACATGGCCATGAGCACCTTGACCTGCAGCTCTTGGGGATCTAGTGCTCCTGTGGGTTCCTTAGTTGATTTGTCTCTCAGCAATGACTTAGGGTGGAGCACCTCCATTTCTGCCATCCCAGTATCTAATGTCAGCCTCAGGCCTGGCCTGGTCCTATAGGACACCAAGCCCTGACCTAGAGGACAGCTACACACACAAGAAGGCCTGATCAGGATCCCTACAACTCTGGGTAAGTGTCAGGCGAGTTTCATAAACTATTGGTTTCGGAGAACAGCTTTGAGAACAGACTGGACTACTCATGTCCCAGAGAGAACCTCAGGGTGTGACCATGGCCCGGTCCCTCGAGCATAACTAAAGGCCTGTTTGTTCAGACAGGATGAAGACCTTGTGTTGAAGAAAGCTGGTGCTTGGGCCTCAGAAGCCCATTGCCCCTCTCAAAGTGAGTCCACGGGAAATCCCAGAGCAGGAACAAGATAAATTCGATGGGAACAGATATAAAGCAGTATGTTTCTGTTTATTAGCCAAAGTCTCTCTGAGAGCTGTTTTTTTTTTTTTTTTTTTTTTTTTTTTTTGAGACAGGGTCTATGTAGCCCTGGATAGCCTGGAACTTGCTATGTATACCAGGCTAGCATTAAACTGGTTTTAGTCCTCCTGCCTCCCAAATGTATACAACCACACCTGGCAAGTTCAGCTTTAAAAAGAAAAAAAAAAAGGAAAGAACAGACTTTGTTATAGTCTGTATATAGTTTAACTGTGTTGTTCTGTGCTAGAGTTTGATCTCAGTGAGGTAGAGGACCTTAAAGGGAGGAGGGGTCTAGTAGGAGATTATTTGGTCATTGGAGCGCCACCCTCAGAAAAAGTTGAGGGTATCTTAGTTTTGTTTGTTGCTATGACAAAAGCATGTTAGGGGAGAAAGGGTTTATTTTGGCTCACTGTTCCTGGTTGCAGCCCATGGTGGGGGTGAGGTGAGGCAGCAGGAACTTGGAGCAGCTCGTCACATTGCATCTGGTCAGGAGCAGAGAGAATGCTCTGGGATCTGTGTGCAGCCTTCTCCACTGTTACGCAGTCCAGAATCCAAGCCCAGGGAATGGTGCCACCCACTTTTAGGCTGGGTCTTCCCACAGTGGTTAAGGTAACCAAGACAGTTCCCCACAGGCCAACCTGATCTAGACACTCTGTCACTGAGACACTCTTCCCAGGTGATTCTAGATTGTGTTGCATAGACAAAGTAACCATCACAGTTGGTCTCAGAGTGGATCCTTAAAAGACTAGGGTTACTGTTCTAGTCATTTGCTTTGTTTTTGTTTGAGACACAGCCTCATTATGTAATAGCACAGTCTGGTCTCAAACTCACAATCCTGCATCAGCTGCCTGGGTGCTGGGATCACAGGTACACTATACCGTGGGTGACTGAGGGTGTTGTCATCAAATGAAGCCAGCTCATGTGCTTGGCCTCTTCTGTACAAAGCCAGTTCTCTTTCTGCTTTTCCATGATGTTGTGTCATAACCAGGGACCCTTCCCAGGGTGCCAGCACCCAGAACTATAAACCAAACAAACCTTTTCTCTGTAGTAAAGTATCCAGTAGGTATTTTGTTATAGCAACAAAAAATGACAAATCCAAAGGTAGTTGTCCTAATTAGCTTTCTATTGCTGTGTTAAAAACACTGACCAGTGGGGCTGGAGAGATGGCTCAGCAGTTAAGAAGACTGGCTGTTCTTGCAGAAGACCTGGGTTCAAATCCCAGCTCCCACATGGCAGCTAACAACTGTCCATAACCAACAGCCTCTTCTGTCCTCCACAGGCATTGCATGACATGGGTGCACTTACCTACATGCAGGCAATACACGTGTACACACAAAATAAAAATAATAAATAAAAATTTTAAATGAAATATTCCCATGTAAAAGAAAAAAGTCAAATCTTTACCATAAGTCACAAAAGCTAACTCAAAATTAAATTGAATATCTAGACAAGAAACCTAATACGTAAAATTCTTACAAAAAAAAGGGAAAGCTTCATGACATTGGATTTGGCAATTAATATTGTTTCTGAATTTGACATGGAAATCACAGGCCATAAAAATAGATTAACGTGTATTTGTCAAAATTTAAAACTTTGGGGGCTGGAGAGATGGCTTGGCGGTTAATGTACTGGCTGCTCTTGCAGAGAATCTGGGTTCAAATCCCAGCTCCCACATGGCAGCTAACAACTGTCCATAACCAACAGCCTCTTCTGTCCTCCACAGGCATTGCATGACATGGGTGCACTTACCTACATGCAGGCAATACACGTGTACACACAAAATAAAAACAATAAATAAATTTTTTAAAAAACCCAAAAAGCCGGGCGTGGTAGCACACGCCTTTAATCCCAGTACTTAGGAGGCAGAGACAGGCGGATCTCCAAGACCAAGGCCAGCCTGGTCTACATAGTAAGTTCCAGGACAGCAGGGCCTATAGTGAGACCCTGTCTCAAAAAAAACCAAAAAAAACAAACAAAAAACCCCTAAAACCCAAAAAACACTGACCAAAACTAACTTGGGGAGGAAAGGGTTTATTTCATTTTACATCTCCCAGGTAGTTCATCACTAAGGGAAGTCAGAGCAGGAAGTCGGGGCCGGTACCAGGAGGCAGGAGATGGAAGTGCAGACCATGGAGGAACACTGCTTTTGGCTTCGCCTCTGGCCTGTGCTCAGACTGCTTTCTTATACAACTCAGGACCACCTGTCTGTACTACCCCATGACTCAACAATCAAGAAAATGCCCTACAGACATGGCCATAGGCCA